CCACAGAACAATAACCACAAAACTATATCAACGACAGCCATATCATCACAACCTGACCAACCATACAACTACGTTAAAATGAACGACATAACCACACAACTATATCAACCACTAAACAATACAAACCTAACACCCATACCAATCTCACAATCCGACAGCCCACACAACCCAAACACATATTTGTATCAACCGCACAATCGTATAACCCAAACAACCATATCATCACACAAACCTTCTAATTAAACGCAGTCAAAATCAAGCGGCCAATTATAAAAATACAAAACTTCTTTTTTGAAGATAACATAAAATAAACACGTGAAATAGTCTTTAACTGTTGGAACTCTTCAAGATACTCTATGGATTTTACAGTAATATCAAAATACATGATTAACCGAATAATCATACAACATTGTGGGACGGAGTGGTCTAGCGGTAGAGAGCTGTACTGCTAACCCGTAAGTCTCGATTTCGAATCCGGGTTCAAGTCAGTAGACCGTCCCTGAGTCCACCCAACTCTGATGGGTACCTAACTCACGTTAGGGAAAGTAAAGGCGGCTGGGCTTAGTACTGACCACACTATCCCTTCATATGCCGAGGTCACAGAAACAAGTGAACTCTACTTCACTTGCCCTATAGACCGTCAGGTTTGAAAAGGGAATCATACATTGCTTATGTTTGTCACACACGTATAAGATGTAAATGATGTTATTTACACATCAAATCCCCACCTGTTTGATGAACACAATGATGTTAATGATGTTAGCCACGGACCCCATGGTGCTGATGACGAAAATGATGACAGCGAAGAAAAGGATGTCGATGATTTCTCTCTCGTCGTCTGTCATTAGAGCCAAGCTCTGATCAAAGCTTGAGTTCCCCATCTGTTATGTTGTTGTTGTTGTTGTTGTTGTTGTTGTTGTCTTTGTTGCTGTTGTTTTTGTCTTTGGTTGTAGCGTTAGAAATATGTTGTGTTATTTATTGCAATCAGAAATACAGCTATACATTATTTTTCTCCATTTATTTTAAGATTTTTTTACGTATTTCTTCGCTTTATTTATTTATTTATTAGTTTATTTTCTTGTATTGAGATATGTGTTTTGAATTAGCTTGATTCTATGTTTCCACCCCACGTTTTCATCACGTTAATTTTTAAGTCCAAGCTTCGTATAGTGCTATAGTTTATTTTTCGTAAGTTTTTTTATTTTTTTTTATTTTTATCTTGTTTCCCGTTTTATTACATTTTATGCACACATAACTCTCTATTAGCGCTACGATAATGCGTTATTCTTTAGACGAATTTCGCATCCCTAAAATGTGGAAAATAATTTTAAACATTACTAATATTAAAACCTCTACCCATCTATTTTTAAACATTTTATTTAGTTTGCGAATAAAGCAAGATTTAAAAAAAAAAATTACGATTAATCTCTTTAAAATTCGAAAATCTAGCAAACTGACTGCTTTATTAAATATCCAAACCTTATAGTTTCGTAAATTTAATTGTTAAGCATACCAATCAGTTCTCATTAACGATTTATTAAGTTAATTAGGACTTGCAGTTGGTAGTTAATTTCTTCTCTCGGTGCTGTACTATTGACCCGAGTCAAATAACTGTATTTAGTGAAGCATTGAATAATTAATTACATACAATTATCGGCAGATAACCCTATCATCAGTGTCGTATAAAAATAGCTAAACGGTCTATTTAATTCTAATTAAAGTTAGCATGCATTGCAACCATAAGTGATTAATTTTAATGAAATAGTCAATGAATAAAAATAATCAGTAGACTATTAGATGCGATTATATATTTTTTTCTTACTTTTATTTCTTTAATCACATAGAACATTGTAAAAGAATATCACAAGAGCAATCAATAGTCTGTATTTTTAAAACATACAGATGCTACACATGCCTTTGTATTTGAGTGTAAGAGTGTATGTTTGTAGATAACAGTACAGGTAGAACTCCTGCATTTAAATGGCAGCAGCCTGTTAAAAATGGGTAGGATATTTTCGTCGTTTTAATATGGAAGCTACTTACTTATTACTTTGGAGCCCCTGAGGAGCAAAGGTTATTTTAACGCCCCTTAGGGGCTTAGATTACTTTGGAACCCCTATGAGCAAGAATTACTTTTGAGCCCGTGAAGGGCATAGATTACCTTGGAACCCTATGAACAAGGATTACTTTTGAGCCCCCGAGGAGAAATGTTACTATGTAGCCAGTGTGGAGCAAAGATTACATTAGAACCGCTAAAGGGCATAGATTACTTTGGAGCCCCCGAGGATCTAAGATTACTTTCGAGCCCTAATAGTCAAGCATTATATTTAATCTCTGCGTGGTCGAGACGGTAAATCTCATGATTGCTAAACCGAAAAGTCTCGAGTTCGAACCCTCGGGCAGATGAGGCTCGTTAGCTGGGGACAGCCAATCCTCTAGGAGAGACAACTCCAAAATTAAACAACTGCTGCTTTGTAGTTTGTTCTTAGTTGGACAAAGGCTATGGAAGCAAATCCAAAAAGAAAAGTAGGCTGAAATCGGAGTCAATGGCCTCAATGGCGAATAACCAGTTGACACGTATACGTAATTGTGTTGGAGGGGGATCCCTTCCAACACTAACATTAAACACCGAGATGAAGAAGATAAAGACTCCCCGCGGGATCGTAGATTACTTTAGAGCCCTTGATGAGCAAGATTACTTTAGAGATTACAAAAAGCTGCAGCTACGCTTCTCCAAAGGATTAATTTTAGGGAAATATCTTTGTTTAGACATTGTAACCGCAGCAGTCTTACTTTACTTCAGTTGTCAACCTTAAGGATTGGTTAGGTCGGCGGAATTTCATTTCACCTAGGGGCTTCTATTGATCGCCTGTTGCTTTGTGTTTTACCATATGTGCTCGTTGGATATTTTATCTGGCCATCTTATATTAAAGGCTTATCGTAAACATATGGGTTTTCTTTTATGCCTTAATATTTATATTTTTTTTTTTTCAATTTAAAAAAAAACTAATACAAATTAGCATTTTTTAAAGTAGAAACCCCCATGAGATAAATCCTACCTCCCCTAAACTAGATCCTCCCTCCGGCAAACTCACATACTCGAAATAGCTATCTTTCTGCCCAACCTATGTTGTAACTCCCATTTCTCTACCCACCCCTCCTGCAATCACCTAATCACCCACCATCCACCCTACCTCTTGTAAATTAAAAAAAAACATATAGAAACTAGACAAATGTCAGGGTGTAACAGGTTTCTCATTACTTACACCGTGTGAGCACCTCATTTTCATTACTTACACCTTGTGAGCACCTCATTTTCATTACTTACACCTTGTGAGCACCTCATTCTCATTACTTACACCTTGTGAGCACCTCATTCTCATTACTTACACCTTGTGAGCACCTCATTCTCATTACTTGCACCTTGTGAGCACCTCATTCTCATTGCTTACACCTTGTGAGCACCTCATTCTCATTACTTGCACCTTGTGAGCACCTCATTCTTACATTCAGTCTAACAAAATTGCTTGACACTTATCGATTCCCCCCCCCCCCCCCACTCCCCATCCCCAACCCCACCATTAAGTAAAGATTTCATCCATCTAATAAAAAGCGAGTATTATTGGTGGTTGGGGGCAGGTAGGATAATATACTCGGGATGGGGGTGGTAGACTTTGTGGAGATTTAGTAGGGTTAATGACCTGGGCTAACTAACGTTATAGTGTTGTACCTCCACCATTGGCTACCAGGTTGTTTAAGTAAGACAGGGAAGAGAATGGGAGGGGGGGGGGGGGGGGTTGGAGAGTGGAGGTAAAAGAGAGAGATGGAGGGAGAGAAAGAGAGAGATAGACAGAATACTTTTTCTCGTCGAATAAATTGCTGTAGTAAGTTCGACATTTATTGTTTAATATCTTCTGTTTCACACACATTTACACGTAACATACACATTCCCAAATATCAGTTCTGTATTTAGAGTTTATTGTGTAATAATGTGTTTTGTGATTTTCTTTTATTGATATTCACGCTCATACGCATTAACCTTACACAACCGAGCGTAAACATTCTCCCAACCACACCCACCGACACATACAAAAACATAACATACACATTTCTACATACATAATCTATGTGTAGGCCTACTCTGACAAATACATCGCTACATATGTATGTACATATACCACCCGCATTTGGACCAGAATACAATTAGCTTAGAGAATCTGTTTATATTTAAAACTAGAATACAATGTGTAACAATCGAATAATGTTCGCACATGTAGCCTAGGTTGCTCACTAATGACATCAATGATTCTCAAACTCTATCGGACTGACTTGACTAATTCAATTAATTTAGATTAAGATAATATTAAAAGAAAAGTTTTCTTTTTTAATAAACCGAAAGTCCGTTAAAATCTGTGGCGTGCTTATATTATTAACAAGAAACCTGTAGTTTCATCATTAGCTTTGGAGGACGTCCAAGGATTTGATCCTTATGGACACGTTTAGCCACCTTCAACCCCCATCCATCGTTTTATAATACACCCGATGTTTCGAACGCCTCCCAAAACCATCCCAGCAGAGGCATAGCGGGGGGGGGGGGGCGCACCGGGTGATACCATTTAGGGGGGTGACACCAAGGCTAAAAATACCAAAATATATAGAGAAAAACTTGAGGGGGGGTACAAATCGAAATTTTGAGGGGGTGGGTGCAAATCGAAAGTTTGAGGGGGGGGGGCAAATCGAAAACTTCAGGGGGTGGGGGGGGTGCAAATCAAAAGTTTGAGGGGTGGGGTGCAAATCTAAAATTTGAAAGTTTGTCCCCGGGAAGGGTCGCTACGCCTCTGGGTGGGGGGGGGGGGGGGGGGGGTAACACCATTAAGTTCCGCACCGGGTCACACCCGACCTCGTTACGCCACTGCATCCCAGCACACCCCTCAGTGAGCTACCTCAACTTGTGTGAGAACCATTGGTCTACAGTTTGGCATACACGTCGTATCCTTTTAAAATTAATCATTACATTGAGTGCAAGCTGTTTTGACGTACTCCGTACAACGTTATCTAAATACTACTAATCATCAAAAGGTATGTATGTTTTTATTCAATGTAACAATATTTAAATTTGTGTGTGCTAGATCTGACAATTACTTAACAATCTAATAAGACTTCTATGAGCTAAGTTTCGTTTTCAGACATGAAGATTCATCGGGAAAATGTAGTAGAGGTCATAATTTATGTTTCTTAAACTTTTCTTATAAAAGGATTGTGTAGTCAGCACTATTCATACACGACTTTACTTTCCCTAACGTAAAGCATGCACACTTACTAATTTTACATAAAGGAACAGACGAATTTCACCATATCTTTTTTTTATTAGGGGTCATCCATTTATGACGTCCACACGGGGGAGGGGGGGGGGGGTCCTAGAAAAACTGACTTTTGCGGACGCATATGGACTTGTATAAGGAAAACAAGTGGATTTTTGTTGACGGGGGGGGGGGGTCCAAAATTAAAATAAAATTGTGGACGTCATAAATGGATGACCCATTAGAGCCAGAAGGTTTTCCCTTGTCTATCTTAGTCTTCAGGGTGGTCTTTCCCTTCGCTGAACCTCTCTTCCAAATAACTCCTCACCAGGCCTGTGAATAGAAATCACTTTCATTTCCGAATAGCCGTACCTCTTTTCAAACTGACCTTTGCTAAATCTCCCAATAGCCAGGCCACTTTTCAAACTGATCTTTGTTAAGTCTCCCAATAGCCAGGCCACTTTTCAAACTGATCTTTGCTAAGTCTCCCAATAGCCAGGCCACTTTTCAAACTGATCTTTGTTAAGTCTCCCAATAGCCAGGCCACTTTTCAAACTGATCTTTGTTAAGTCTCCCAATAGCCAGGCCACTTTTCAAACTGATCTTTGTTAAGTCTCCCAATAGCCAGGCCACTTTTCAAACTGATCTTTGTTAAGTCTCCCAATAGCCAGGCCACTTTTCAAACTGATCTTTGTTAAGTCTCCCAATAGCCAGGCCACTTTTCAAACTGATCTTTGTTAAGTCTCCCAACAGCCAGGCCACTTTTCAAACTGATCTTTGTTAAGTCTCCCAATAGCCAGGCCACTTTTCAAACTGATCTTTGTTAAGTCTCCCAATAGCCAGGCCACTTTTCAAACTGATCTTTGATAAGTCTCCCAACAGCCAGGCCACTTTTCAAACTGATCTTTGTTAAGTCTCCCAATAGCCAGGCCACTTTTCAAACTGATCTTTGTTAAGCCTCCCAATAGCCAGGCCACTTTTCAAACTGATCTTTGCTAAGTCTCAATTAAAAAAAAATTGAAGCAGCGTCATACACTCTAAATTAACATTTACGTTGTACATATTAAATCAGCGTTTAATCTATTCTCATGACGCTAGTTTAGGTAAGAAATCAAGTAGATGGTAGAAACAGACAATAGCTTAGTTAGTTAAACAGGCCAATGGAAATATAGGAGCTGACCGGTCACGTGGGACGGTCAGTTGACCACTGAAGCGTGGCGGAGACAGTGATAGGTAACGTTAGATTGCAGTTGATGATAGGTAACGGTAGAGAGCAGTAGGTGATAGGTAACGGTAGAGAGCAGTAGGTGATAGGTAACGGTAGAGAGCAGTTGGTGATAGGTAACGGTAGAGAGCAGTAGGTGATAAGTAACGGTAGAGAGAAGTAGGTGATAGGTAACGGTAGAGAGCAGTTGGTGATTGGTAACGGTAGAGAGCAGTTGGTGATAGGTAACGGTAGAGAGAAGTAGGTGATAGGTAACGGTAGAGAGCAGTTGGTGATAGGTAACGGTAGAGAGCAGTTGGTGATAGGTAACGGTAGAGAGCAGTTGGTGATAGGTAACGGAAGAGAGCAGTTGGTGATATGTAACGGTAGAGAGCAGTTGGTGATAGGTAACGGTAGAGAGCAGTTGGTGATAGGTAACGGTAGAGAGCAGTTGGTGATAGGTAACGGTAGAGAGCAGTTGGTGATAGAAAACGGTAGAGAGCAGTTGGTGATAGATAACGGTAGAGAGCAGTTGGTGATAGGTAACGGTAGAGAGCAGTAGGTGATAGGTAACGGTAGAGAGCAGTTGGTGATAGGTAATGATAGAGAGCAGTTGGTGATAGATAACGGTAGAGAGCAGTTGGTGATAGGTAATGGTAGAGAGCAGACAGAGACAGGTAGCGCTAGGGGAAAGATGTAGAGAGTTACTGGTAGATAGTGTGTAAGGGTGATCTTGGGAGTTGTAGTTAGATAGTGTTAGCAGATAGTATATAGTATAGACTAGTTAGGTAGAAGTAGGAAGTGATTTGTGTAAATAAAGAACATTATATCTTGAATTGGACTTGTGTGTGTTAATTCCAAACTATACCAGGCCCGGTTTCGTCTTTTTCAATCCCACCCTTAACACTGGGTGGATCTTCTTTTAACCCCTACCCTCACACTTATCATCGACTTATCTCTCTCACTCTCTCCCTCTCTCTCTCTCTCTCTCTCTCGGTATCAATTTTGCTAGTCCCACAATATTTTGACCTATATTTTCTATACATTTTAGCCTGTATTTTTGCAACTTTTTCTCCAAATTTAATTTTAAAAACTATTCTTAAAAGTAGATTTTCGCATTTTAAATTATTAAATCTGATCTATCCGCAGTAGCCACTCCTCAACATGACCTTCCGAGGATGCATGACGTTTTTGGTCTTAAACTGTTTCATCTGTCGGGTGTCCATGGAAGACAAGAAACATCCAGACAATCCTCAATGTGCTGACAAACTGACAGATAAACTTTCTTATATATATATATATTTTTTTTAAATAAGTAAAACCAACCTATCACAAAATACTCTAACCTCCATCCATTTACAAAAGTGCGGATAGACTGACAGATAATATTTATATTGTTTTAATCTGCTTTTCTTGTTTAAATTAAGTCTCTGTCTTCTTTAGACAAAATGAAGGACGCCTAAGTCAATTTGCCGATGTTTATTTAATAGTATATAACTTATAACTTGTATACACACTTTCGATTCTTTTTCCCTTGTTATATGTGCAATGAATTGTAAGATATGGTGTATAATAAATAACAATGGTTTCTGTTCATATTATGAACACACTCTCTTGGTAAGATATCATTGTATGTATATCTATTCTACAACTGTAATTGTGCAATCAACGTCTGGAAAATAAATCTCTTTTGTAGTTGGTTCAATAGTTGTCCTATGTTTCACCATTTAAGCTCGCCACAATGATTAAACACACACAATACAAAAAAATACATAAACATATCTGCACTGGTAGGTTGCTTTAAAAGTAATAAAATTTCAATCGAATTCTGTATCTTTTGGATAGTAACGTTCTTTTTTGTGTAACATAGTTCTCCAACATTGGTTAGAATCTCAATTCCAACCGGATTTGATGAGAACAATTTATTTATTTGCATTCAATGCTAGCATTTTTTTTCTGCATGTTAGTTTGTTCCGATCTAAAATGGGGTCCGGAATGTGAAAAGCCGTGCAAAATCAACAACAAATGCGGTATAAAAGAGTATTGCATGCGTGCCGATGGTTCTTGTGCAGGGGGGTGTGTGGCAGGATACGAAGGTCCATTTTGTGATAAAGGTAAGCAGGCAGTAATTGAAATCGTGTCGGCGGGGTCAAGTCAGTAAAGTCTTAGACATGTTTATCGTTTTAAAAAAAGATTCCGGCCGAGCATGGCTCTGACCACACTATCCCTTCATATGCTGAGGATACAGAAACAGGTGAACTCTATTTCACCTGCCCTGTATCCCACCAAGTTCCGATAGGCAACTTTATCATTCACACCTAAAAAAAAAATTGAAAAAAAAAATTATCTTTGACAAGTTGTGTCTCAAACCCGCCCCACTCGCTTGTTAACCTAATACACTATCACCTTAGCTATCTAGACTTGAAGGATAAGAGACGTATTTACTTTTATTTTTTACTTTTAGTCTGCGTAAGAAACTTAATTTACATGAATAGGCCCTAGTATTATTTCAAATTAAATAATATCCCAAATTAGCCAATTCCATAGCTAAAACAAACAAAGATTTATATAAAATAATTAAGGCCTGGAATAATTTAGTATACAGATTATCGATCTAGATTCTAGATGTAAAATGTACCTTACGTCTAGATCTAGATCTAGATCTAGATGTAGAATTTACGTTAAGTCTAGTGTTTGCCGTAGCTCTAGATCTAGAACCTAGATAGATAAATCCCATGTATTCTCGAATAAGATGATCATTGAAGCTAAAAATCGAAGAATTATATCAAATATTTAAGGACTAACATAGTTTAATAAAGAAACTAAATGATTTATTGTGATTTTATAATGTTTTTTTTTTAACCAATTAATTTTGGTTTGACCTAGATTCTAGATCTAGGATTGACTTTTCTTTACTTCGACAGCTGTTCTATATATCTAGGGACATTTATTCATTTATTGAATAATCAAAATAGAAGAATTGTTGAAAATTGACAATAGTGTTGGAACCAATAAAAATAGCAAACGGACGTATCGTTAAAGCTATGGCCGACAGAAACTTAGCTTTATAGCGGGTTAAACTTTTGAATCGGCACCAATATCTTCGATGGAAGCCGCCATTATTGTTATAAAAAGTAAACAAATCATTTGACGTCACTTTAAGTAAAGTCATTGTTCTGAACTTTTATAATTAGTGTGGTTAATCTACCAATGAATATATCAATAAATTAAGAAACGTCTTTAAATTAGTTTGTGATTTACAGTTTGGTTAAATTTAAAATTGTTTTCTACCTCATGACGTATTGTACAGTTTTACACATAGTGCATATTCTCTCATGTAACCAAACAGACAAACAAACAAACAAAAAATTCTAACATGAAAACAAACTTGAGTTTCAATAGTATATAGATACTTAAAGTTCCCTTTCAAACCTGATGGTCCATGGGACAAATGAAGTAGAGTTTACCTATTTCACTGACCTCGGCATATGAAAGGCTTTTGTGTTCCCCATTTCCCTTGAGTTCTACGTAATTAACCCAGTTTCGAACTCGAAACTTTCGGGTTAGCAGTCGTATTATTCGACTAATCCGAATAGAAGAACATAGCGTGAAAATTCGATAAGTGATTTTTAAAGAAAGGGATGGGCAGTGTGTATCTGGGAGAGTACATGTTCAGTGTGTATCTTGGAGAGTACTTCAGTAATTACCCAGATGATGGAAGGTGCCCTTTTGTTGGCGCTATTGAATATTTTTCTTTCTGAAATTAGGGACGTAAAGCCATTTGCCTATCTCAAGGTTAACGAGATGTATTACGGTATCGTTTTGTAAGGTACTAGGTAGATGGGACCACATAAGATTTAAGATTATTTAAGGGGGGGGGGGGGGTGTGACTCACTAGTTTTTTGCGAAATAATATTGGGAAAAAAAATCATCCATCTTATTAACATATTATTAAAATGAATACTTTATTACTTTAGAAACCCTCTTTTTACAATATGTTACGATGCAAACGAACATACTTAGACATCAACGCTAATTAAATATATACAGATACCTACTTAACAAATTATTTTATTTGGAGTAATTTAGTGAAGCCTTTGATGGGCAAAGAACTTCAGCAACATCTCTCCGCCGGACTGTTCTGACCGGCTCTCTTTAGTTGAGCCCGCTTAAGCCCCGTCAGTCCTTGCTTCTCCTTCAATTGACCTACTTTTTCCCCCCTGGAAGTTCCGATGCAATTCTGGCCTCGTAATGTTGCCCTCGTATATAGGGTTGGTAAGTAGGTCACCAACCAGTTCTATGTCTCATGCAGGTTTTATTGAGCCGTAGAACTGGTTGGTGACCTACTTACCAGCCCTATTCTCATGACGTGCTTGACCCACCCTCTTTTGCGGGCTTTAAATCCCCCGCCGATCGACTATTTTTTTCTGATTTGTCATTGGTCTTTGTCGATCAGCACTCTTAGGTTTTGCAAAATATATACTCATATTAACCTTAACTAGAATCTTCATTCAAACCAATATTCTAATGTGTACGATAGTGTATAAAATAAATGAAAGTGTTGTACTTGTAAAACTTACATTTTAGAATGCAAGCCTAGGAGATGGGGTCCAAGTTGTTTAAATAACTGCTCGGAAAACAACTGTTACAATGAATGTCACAAAGTAGACGGTCGTTGCATTGCAGGTTGCAAGGCTGGGTTCAAGCCTCCTCATTGTAAAGAAGGTAAATTATGATAGTTAACAATCAATTTTATTGACTACTTAATGTTTCCTAATTACTGAGGTCTGTTAATTTAAAAAAAAAAAGACCGATGTATGCGCATGAATATATTTAAACTAATAAAGCAATTTTACTATCATCTTTTACTGTTCGTGTTCAAGATACATGGGGCAGATGAAGTAGAGTTTATATGTTTCAATGATCTCGAGATACAGAGTTATAGTGTGGTCAGTACTTGGTCCAGCCGCATCAGTTTTCCTAATGTGAGTCACGCTCAAGAGATGGGTGGACTCATGCACGTCCCACAGCCTTGTGCCCGGGACCCACTCGAAACTTTCGGGCTAGCAGACGTAATACAAGAGGCCTTAGCCTGCCAAAAAAATTTACTTTTAGAAGTGAAATAAAGTAATAAGTACAACAATGAAATATTTAACATAATTTATTCATAATAAAAAATACAATAGATACTTCTTAATTATCAACAGATATATCAACGTAAAATAATAATAATGAACAACATACAAGTTAAATTAAAGGATTCGATTTTGCGATGATTGCTACATTATTTTACTTTAGAATAGTGATGATGTTGGTGCTGTCGGGTCGGTAAAGCTAAGGATACTAAAGTTCAAATTTTGATAGCTGGGGACAGCAAAACGTCTCGGAGAGAAAACACAAAAATGAGAAAAACTGCTGCCTTGTAGTTTGTCCTTGGATGAACATAGACTATAGAAGCAAATCCAAAGGAAAAGCAGGCTGAAATCGGAGTCAATGGCGTATAAGACGCATAACAGGTTGACACGTAATACTTAATTGTGTTCGACGGAATACTGACCAACACACAATTAAGAGAAAAAGAATAGCAATGAAAAATAAAAGCCAATGATTTCAAAATGTACTGTCTATTTGCCACATGTAAAGTAAAATCTTTAAAAAAAACATATCAGAAATGTCCTAAAATTTTAGTAATATAACATTGTCACTAAAACAACACTTGGTAGAACGTTTAGTATTAGAACGCAACATTCGAATTGTTCCCCTAATGAACTTGTTAAAATAAGTTATACAGTGTCCAATTCAAACGTGGGGAACTGTTGTCTGCGAAAACGAATGCAGTGATGGATGCGTAGGAGGCTGCAATATTTATAATGGCGAGTGTAACTATGGTAACTATATCTTAAATGGTCTTAACTATTGTGTTAATTTCTAAAATGTAAAATTAATTTGATGTAATGTTGTTTGTTAGCTTTGTTAAAATTTGAATTTTATTTAAGTAGGTCTAATTTTGTTTTTTTATTATTTAATTATAAAAACTGTATGACTTTGTTAAAAAAATCATTAAAAATGTATTTAAAAGATAGTAAGTGTGCTATTTAATAATAAGATAGAAATGTAAGCGAAAACTTGTTTTAAGGAGCGACAACAGCGAGTATATCACATGCCATAAGAAGCTTGATTTACACTCGGAATTATTTGATAGAACCATGTGCGGTGTATTAGATACTATAATATTTCAACAATGTTTTTTTAAATCAAGCACACTTTACACTAGTCTTCCATGAGATGCAACAACTACATATTTTTATGTCACATCATTATCATCTTCTTTTCCCGTATTTGCCGAAGACACATTGAGCAGATGAAGTAGAATTTATCAGGTTCAATTACATCGGCTTTTGATGGGGGTAATGTGGGCAGTATTATGTCGAACTGCCATGGTTTAAATTAACTTGATTTAGGTATTTGTCGGGTGGAATTGGGACATCATAGGGACTTAAACTCGAGACTTACGGGTTAGCAGTCGTATGCTCTACAATCCTGCCACACCGCCCCCCCCCCCCCTAGTGGTGACACGCTCATCTTTACACTTAAAAATGCAAGTTGTTGTGTATGGGGGTTTTACATGTATTATTAGAATAGATTCCAGAATAGAGACCTCAGTTAATAGGTATCAACATGTATTTTAGGCTGTCATGCACGCAAATGGGGCGCTTACTGTAATCTTACCTGCAGTCCTAACTGCAGAAGTGGCGACTGTGATAAAGATAACGGCACTTGTGTTAATGGATGTTTATCAGGATTTCAGGGTTACAACTGTCAAGGTAAAAGTAAAATATAAGAAATATATATATATATTAAAAACAGATCATTCGGATTACAATTGTCAAGGTAAAAGTAAAATATAAGAAAGATATAAAAGTAAAATATAAGAAATATATGTATTAAAACCCAGATCATTATGGTTACAATTGTCAAGGTAAAACTAAAATAAAAGAAATATATGTATTAAAACCAAGATCATTATGGTTACAATTGTCAAGGTAAAAGTAAAATATAAGAAACGAGCGACTACGCCGCTATTTAGTTGGGTTTTTTTTTTTCTTCTTTTCAAGAATTCATAATTTGTGAATTCAACAGTACCAATGCTACCACTGAAAATATTTGCTTTAATAAAACACTATCAGTAGGTTGTTAAGGACGATCACCGCCCCCACCCGACCTCCTTTCCCCCAACCCCTACCCTATCCCCTCTCCCTCAATGAAAGCAGCCTCCTCTTAGTTACCTCCCCTAAGTTTAAAATAGTTTCAAACTAAATTATCTGCCCCTAATAGCCATCACAAAACCCGGCTCTTCGATTGTAAATACTTAGCGTGAACCACAGCTCATCTGACCATGTGGGGTGGGGGTGGTAGGGATATGGTTAGAGAGGTAGAGAGGGGGCTGCTAGGCGCTTACAGCTATGTGTTTTCTATGTTCTCCAAGAAGAGAATTATATATATAAATACACACCCACACACACACACACACACACACACACACACATATATATATATATATATATATATATATATATATATATATATATATATATATATATATATATATATATATATATATATATATATATATATATATATTAAAACCCAGATAGTTAAGATTACAATTGTCAAGGTAAAAGTAAAATATAAGAAATATATAAAAGTAAAATATAAGAAATATATGTATTAAAACCAGATCATTTTGGTTATAATTGTCAAGGTAAAAGTAAAATATAAGAAATATATTAATGTATTAAAAACAGATCATTGACTGAACGCATTCTGCAGGATGTCTAAAAGGGATAAAATATTAATTTAAAGAAATTTTATTTGAAGATTATAATTCTTATGTAGTCTGTAAAAAATGAAAAAAAGAATGACGTTTATTCACTTCAATGGTTCTCAATCATTTTGAAAAGGTATATGCATTGGAATAGAAAAATCATTGTGCTATCTGCAAGGAGGAAAATAAATTATTTAAACTTGTTCGTGCTTATCATACACAGATAGCAAGCTTCAGTGTTTCTTCCAGACTTTTTCTCCGAGGGGGGGGGGTGGCACTTGAAATTTTCGGGGAGGGGGGGCGGTAAACTTTACGCATTTTATTTTCGGTTTTAATGTGTCCATGAAAAATATGATTAAAAATAGAAATTAATATAAATTTAAATATAAGTGTTATATTAAATGCTATTATTTTATAATGTATTAATGGATATAGTCCTGCGGGATTGATTTATCACTTAAATAAAAAGATTGGCTAATCACTGTCATAGGAAGGTTGACTATTCTCTATAATAGGGAGACTAGTAACACACTTTTATAGGTAGATTGGATGATCACTGTCATATCGAGATTGGCAAATCATGGTCAGAGGGAGATTTGTTACTCACTGCCAAACAACTATTTTAGAATGTGCTCCTCGGAAGTGGGGTGACAAATGCGAAAAATCCTGCAGCCCACACTGCTTGAACAGCCACTGTAACAATGAGACTGGCGAATGTATTTATGGATGCAACGAGGGATATAAACCTCCATTTTGTGAGGAAGGTAAGTAAACCGGGAGTGATCTCCCCTAAAATTTCTCAAATATTCTTATATAAAAGAACAGGGGATGGCAACGTGTGATATAGACATGATTTTTAACCCATTCTAAATACTTTAATTTTTAAAATAGAATAAAATCTCGTAGAAAAAGTTCCATTTTCTGTTATTGGAAATCGCTCAAAAGGTGATACGGATCAACGATTTTTATATAATAATTATATTTGAAATTTCATCAACCTAGCTGTAACTGTACTCAAGTTATCGTGTTTACACACACACACACACACACACACACACACACACACACACACACACACACACATACGCACATACACACACAGAGACAATACGGACAAGATTGCAAAATTATGTTTTTCCGACCCAGGGAGGTGTAAAACGTCCAGATTTGAAAAAAATATAGATTGGTTTTTTTTTTTTGCACGATTACAAGACTTACTCTATACTTCGTATATACGAGAAAATAAAAAGTTAGAAATTCGAGACATCTATCTCTTAAATACGCAACCATTGATGTAAGGAATGATATTCATTTCTTAAATACCTGACTATTGGTTTGGTGATATTATAAAAATTAATTTAAAAGACGAAATATCGATTCAAAATAAATGTAATGTTATTTGAAAATTATGTTGTAATCTGTTCATCTCAATATGCAAATCAAGACATTCAAAAGTATCAATTAATAGTACGTTTATCGTGATGAAAAAAATCAATTACTCAAAATCCAAAGAAGCAAGGATTGTTTAAACTAATGCTTTGTGCTTAGAAATGAACGTTTAGTAATAGTAGAACGGGCATTTTAAAAAAATCAGAAATGTACTAAACTTTTAATGATAAGACATCGTCGCTTAAACAATACTTGGTAGAACGTTTAGTATTAGAACGAAACATTCCAATTGTTCCCCTAATGAACTTGTCGAAATAAGATCCACAGTGTCCGATTACAATGTGGGGAGCAGAGGACTGTAAAAAAAACTGCAGTGCTGATTGCATATTAGGCTGCAATGTTTATGATGGCACCTGTAACCATGGTAAATATATCTTGGTCTTAACTAGTGAGTTAATTTCTAAAACATAAAATTAATTTGATGTAATGTTTGTTAGCTTTGTTAAAATATGTATTTTATATATGTGGGTCTATTTTTTTATTATTTAATAATAAAAACTGTATTACTTTTTAAAGAAATCCTTAAAAGTGTATTTAAAAGATAGTAAGTGTGCTATTTAATAATAAGATAGAAATGTAAGCGAAAACTTGTTTTAAGGAGCGACAACAGCGAGTATATCACATGCCATATGTAGCTTGAATTACACTCGGAATTATTTGATAGAACCATGTGCGGTTTATTAGATACTATAATATTTCAACAATGTTTTTTTTAAATCCAGCACACTTTACACTAGTCTTCCATGAGATGCAACAACTACATATTTTTATGTCACATCATTATCATCTTCTTTTCCCGTATTTGCCGTAGACACATTGAGCAGATGAAGTAGAATTTATCAGGTTCAATTACATCGGCGTTTGATGGGGGTAATGTGGGCAGTATTGTGTCGAACTGCCATGGTTTAAATTAACTTGATTCAGGTATTTGTCGGGTGGAATTGGGACATCATAGGGACTTAAACTCGAGACTTACGGGTCAGCAGTCGTATGCTCTACAATCCTGCCACACCGCCCCCCCCCCCCTAGTGGTGACACGCTCATCATTACACTTATAAATGCAGGTTGTTGTGTATGGGGATTGTACATGTATTATTAGAATAGATTCCAGAATAGAGACCTCGGGTAATAAGTATCAACATGTATTTTAGGCTGTCTTGAAGGCAAATGGGGCGCTTACTGTAATCTTACCTGCAGTCCTAACTGCAGACAAGGCGACTGTCACAAAGATAACGGCACTTGTGTTAGCGGATGTTTTCAAGGATTTCAGGGTTACAAGTGTCAAGGTAAAAGTAAAATATAAGAAATATATGTATTAAAACCCAGATCCTTAAGGTTAGAATTGTCAAGGTTAAAGTAAAATATAAGAAATATTTTTATTAAAAACCACATCATTAAAATTACAGTTGTCAAGGTAAAAGTAAAATGTAAGAAATATATTACGGCACCCCGTCAAAAGAGCGCACGACAAAAGAGCGCCGACATAAGAGCGCAGACAAAAGAGCGCCGACATAAGAGCGCAGACAAAAGAGCGCCGACATAAGAGCGCAGTCAATTAAAAAAAACACATGTTGTATGCTAAACGAATATGACATGGTTAACATTTGTTTTAATTAAACAATCGGCGGTACGATAAAACGACATGTGTTTATTTATATATTAGTATAATATGTTATGAATGCAGTTTGAAAATATTTCTAACCCACGTATCATGGAAAAGATCGAATCACAGAAAAGGAAGGTTATTATATTGGTCGAAGGCTACAAATATCGAAAGAACAAAGCAAATGCTGATGGAAGTACGACATGGAGATGCTGCAAGAAAGATGGCTGCCGAGGACGGATTAAAATGCTGAACGATGTTGTTCTGTCATCATCGGAGCACAATCACGTTCGTGATCCGGCTAAAATTTAAGCAGCGAAAGTTGTTTCGGTTATACGAACACGGGCAGTGGAAGGGGTGGAAAAATTAAGGCAGATTATACAACAAGCCAGAGCAGGAATTTCGATTGAAGTAGCACCTCCACCTCATTTGCCGGCATACATCGCTTCACAACGTGCAATAGAAAGACAGAGAAAACGCAAGCAGCTGCCATACCCAAATCCGCAGAACGTTGCAGATATAACAATTCCTGAACCTCTTCAAACGACAACAAGAGGGCAACATTTAGTCTTGTGGGATTCCGGACCGACTGACATTTACAGAATAATAATGTTCGGAACAATGGATATTATCAATCGTCAATACTAGTTTTTTAAGTAAAGAAACTGTACAATTGGTTTTTTAATGAAACAATAAAGAGTTAACATCAAACAATACCTTCTGATCTGAGTTAATTTTCTTGTTCCTATTTATTATGGTTTTTCGATCTTTAGTTTGCGCTCATATGTCGGCGCTCTTTTGTCGGCAAATTAGTGCGCTCTTATGTCGGCGCTCTTATGTCGGCGCTCTTTTGTCTGCGCTCTTATGTTGGCGCTCTTTTGTCGGCAAATTAGTGCGCTCTTATGTCGGCGCTCTTATGTCGGCGCTCTTTTGTCTGCGCTCTTATGTCGGCGCTCTTTTGTCGTGCGCTCTTTTGACGCGTCACCATACATACCATAACATTAATACACACAGAGTTTTATATTATAAAAAATGCTACTCTTTTCAATGTATCATGTATTGATGAATATAGCACAGTGAGATAGATTAATCACTTTAATATGGAGATTGGCTAATCTCTATAATAGGGAGATTAATTACACACTTGTATAGGTAGATTGGCTAATCACTGTCAAAGGAAGCAGAGTTTCTTCCAGGCAAAATTTTACCGCCCCCCCCCCCCCCCCCGAGCGAAATGAAATTTATATAATTTATATAGAAAATATATACTTTTAACAGTGTCCGCTCCCCCCCCCCCCCGAAGAAAGTTTACCGCCCCCCCCCCCGAAGATTTCAAGTGCCCCCCCCCCCCCCGGAGAAAAAAGTCTGGAAGAAACACTGAAAGGAAGATTGGCTAATCTCTATAAAAGTGTTATTAGTTACACACTTTTATAAGTAGATTGGCTAATCACTGTCCAGGGAAGATTGGCTAATCTCTATAATAGAAAGATTAGTTACACACTTTTATAGGTAGATTGGCTAATCACTGTCCAGGGAAGATTGGCTAATCTCTATAATAGAAAGATTAGTTACATACTTTTATAGGTAGATTGGCTAATCGCTGTCAGAGGGAGTTGGGTTACTCACTGTCAGGCCACTATTTTAGAATGTGTTCCTTCCAAATGGGGTGTCAGATGCCATAGAACTTGCAGCTCATACTGCAAGAAAACCGACTGTGATAGTGGGACAGGCGCCTGTATTCATGGTTGTATGGACGGATATGTACCTCCACGTTGTTATAAAGGTAAAAAACAAGTTATTAAAAAGTCTAGTGAGAATTTAAGCGCAATATCCTAATGTTATCTAAAAATAGCTCTGTCGTAGCGTAAAGCACACACGGGGACAAAGCCAGGTCACATGAATCCTCCTCCTTCGCCTGCGTCTCGCGCAGTTCGCTGCTAAGCAGGTCACATGATTTACCCTCGTCCTCCTTCGCCTTTCACTGCCGATTTTGCTATATAGTACTGTAATGTAATATGTATAATGTAATTTTTTTTAAAAATTTGTGACCGAACGAAAGGATATTTTTGAAAACTTTCTTCGGCTATATTGTTCTAAATTATGGCAGAAATCGATTGGTAAATGTTTCAAGTCGCTAAGTGGTCTGGTCGCCAAGATATGGGCAAAAAAACTGCATTTTTCGAGGTTTTGTGGCTTTTCCGGGAAATCCAGGAAGGAAACCCGGGAATTTATTTGGCCCACAATCATTCTTGGAACTTGCTTAACATTTTTGCTTTTGGAACTAGTCCTCGATATTGCTTCGTTGAGGAGGATATACGACTTAAAGCTGCGGACATCCATCCATCCATCCATCCTTGACGAGTTAATAAACGCAATTCTCCAGAATGGAAATTGCGCTAAAAATTAAGAAAACGTTAGAAGTTAGAGACATCTCTAAACTATATAGCCATTGATGTTAGGAAGTCATGTATCTCTTAAATACTTGACTATTAGTTCGGTGATATTTTTAAAGTGTATTTAAAATGACGAAGTATCGATTCAATATAAATGCAATGTTATTAAAAATTATATTGTAATTTTTTCTTTATCTACTGATGGAGAATTAATATCTAATCAAGATATTCACAATTATAAAGTAATGATACGTTTATCGTGATAAAAAATTAATCGCACACAATTCAAAGAAGCAAGCATTGTTTCAACTAATGTTTTGTGCTTAGAAATCAACGTTTGGTAATAGTAGAACCAGCATTTTAAATTTTTAGGTTATTCTACTTTTGCAAAATATTATCCGCAGAAATATAATTAGCATGGAGGCAGCCAAAGTTGACGAGATAGGTCTGATCATGTAAACATTTAGCCTGAACAAAAAATCAGAAAATCAATAGTTGTAGAGTACATGTAATAAAGATTACACATGCAAAAAAATATGAAATGACTACATTCCTGTTTATTTTCTTCAAGTTTCACATTCGCAATAAAAATATTGATTAGCTGTGAACAAACTAAGTGATCAATCTTATGAAAGACCAAATTTGTTGCAATTTGTGCTAAAAAACTTTGCTGGTAAAATATTCAAATAAAAAGATTTTTAGATCACGTGATCAAGTTATGCCATGTTTGTTTACAATTTCGGTGATGAATAGCTAAAATAATTCTTTATGACTTTTTTTTTATTTTGCTTCGTTACCAAAAATCCTAAAATCATCGGATGCATCCAATCATTAGTAAATTCCGCCAAACAAAAAACCTCTTAATAATGTTTTTATAATCTTATTATTTTAAAACATCACTTAAGAGATTATCGCAACTTTTTGTGGTATTATTTTCTAGAATGTAGAAGAAACACATGGGGCGCGAATTGCAAAACTAAATGCAGCGCCAACTGTGTGAAAAAAAAATGCAAACATACGAACGGCGAGTGTACTCACGGGTGTGTTCCTGGGTATGAGGCACCATTGTGTACAAAAGGTAACTAGTACTAAATGTCAAATACCTCCTACATAACCTTAGTACTAAATGGAAGTTTGGTTATGTAGGAAGTATTTGGCTGATCGACAATGGAACTTTGGTTATGATCGACAATGATAATAGGTGTTGGTTTGTAGAAAATGAAAATTGAAGATATATACGGAAACGTTAAGGAAAAATTAATTTAAAAATACGTTTTTTAAGAAATTTCTTTAATTAAAAGAAAATGAGACTCTCTCTCTCTCTCTCTCTCTCTCTCTCTCTCTATCACTCTCTCTATCTATCTCTTTCCTCTCTATCTCTCTCTCTTTCTCTCTTTATATATATGTATATATATATATATATATATATATATATATATATATATATATATATATATATGTTACCGAGTGTATTTACTCGCAGTGCCAAATGTTACCGAGTCTATTTACTTGTGCTATCTTTGACCAGCACACAACATCAACCACAATATAGATACTCGGAAGTGCAGGTTTACATTGATCTCTTTATTACATGAATCAATAGAAATGCTCCACATAGCAATGCATCAATGTTCCACAAGAATACAATGAACCAACTGACCCCCACTGTCCTCACTAGTCCTCACATATCATAATGCACGTGTCCATCGTTCTTATTCTCACAAATCACAACACGTCTCCACAGTTCAGTCTTCAACTCTGTTCTGCCAATTAAACACGTATCTACACGTATCTACAGTTCAGGCTTCTACTCTGTTCTGCGCCTTCTCCAATACGCAGTCTTATCATATCCCTCGTATTCGTAATCCTTTCCATTCGTTGCATCAGAACTATGAACTACGCAGTGGCTTTGTGTTCGTTATCAGTCCACACCCCCTGTACTCGTTACGTCAGACTGTATTGCGTTCTTATCAATAGTCTTTAGTAACTACACTAGTTACATCCACCCCCGCCTTTTTTTGTGTGTTTTCAACCACAAACAACGCTTGGCAGGTGCACTCCTCCAATGTCAATCGCAACACCGTAAAAAAAATTTACTGTTCCACTCACTGTCAATGTCGTCCCATTCGTATAAGATTGACAGTTATCCCTATTTCAACATATCAAATGTGTCTACATCATATTCCTCAGACACAAAGCAGTTCTAGAATTCACATCCTATTCCTCAGAAACAAAATCACAACATATATATTTTTCAATTTCTAAACATTCTAAAACATCAGTTAACAATCATAGCTAAGTTCCAAACAATCTTACGAATGTATGCCTGCATAGCCTTAGCTGATTCTTTATGAGACACATGAATTTTACCGATATGCTCCAAAAGTAGTTTCTTGCGCTTGAAAGTTTCATGCCACCTGTCACACATGTAAGGTGAAAGTTTTCGTTTGGTAAATCTTTTCTCACACACTGAGCGGATAAATATCTTCTGATTGGGAGATTTCCAATTCTCATGCACCCGCTTAGTGTGGCCAATAAGGGCTCCAAGTGTTTTAAAAGCAGCTTTACAAGTATTACGACGAATAGATTTCCTTCTAGGCTCTCCATCCTCAAAAGGATCATAGTGTTCCTCAAGTTTTAATCTTCTACGATTATATATATCATCCTCATCAGATTCATCATCTATTTCTTTTAGCTGCATATTTGTATTAGATCGTAGTAATTCAAGTTCATCTGTATAATTCTTCACTTCATTTTCTTTTTCTGTATTCACTGCTTTAAGATTCTCAATAGAAATGTGCAAAACTTCTACTTCTTTTTCTTTATCTGCTATAAGAAGTGTATTATTTTCAACCTTTTTCATTAGTTCTAATACTTGCTTTTCTAACTGTTGATTCAATAGCCTTTCTTTTTCTATCATTTCTTCTAGTTTGCCAACACTGTTCTGTCGTGTAATATTTTTATTTTCTTCTTCAGATAACCGACACTCTAAAGATGAACATTTCTCCTGTGCTTTTAATTTGCATGAAGTTTCCCTATCCAGTTTCATGGTTAACATTGAGATCTCATTATTAAATCTATCAATTTCCTCCTTATCATCATTTTTCTCAGCCAACAAATTGTTCACTTGAAACTTTTCAACATCCAAGTTCATTTCACAGTTCATTTTTTCTATTATTAACAAGTTTTTTGAATTCTTAAGTTCTTCCACCAAGGCTATAGTATCTGTTAGCTTGGTTTCACAATTCTGAAGTTCAGAACGCTTCAAATCTAATTTTTCTTGTGTAATTTGAAATTCTTTTTCAATATCTGATAATTTCTCTTCAAGTCTTGTTTGAGACTCTTTCATTGCTTGTTCCATTTTGTTTCTTAGGCCATAACCTCGCCCCTCTGTAGCCTGGACCTGCCTTACAGAGGGCGATCGTTTCCCCGGACAGTACCGTGCAATATGTCCGGGTTGTGAGCAGTACAGGCAGATTGGTCGACCGTCAGCTGTCCACTGGAGTGATGGATTGGCAGGTCGCGGCTGTCTAACTTGTCTATGTTTTGATTATCTGCTGTTGACCTGCTTTCTAACCTCTCCAACCGTTGGTCAACCTTATCCAGGTGAGCCAACAGTTGAGCCATCACGGTTTCCATCGTGCCGGTCCCTGTGGGTGGTGATTGTTTCTGTTCCGGCACAGAGACTTTGTCTACCGAGCAGTTCGATTCGTCCTCATACTCGGACCTGCGGATCGCTGAGTTCCTGGCCTGAAGGAAAGTCAACTGTGGGTCTTTGTACACCTCTTTCAAATCTCTCCTTAAGATAGGGGTTGCTAGCCCTTCGATGAAATGGTCCCTCAGCAGGCGCGCATCAATGTCGGGTGTTTTGCCTTTTACAGCGTCAAAGGCCCTGTTCATTCGGTGTGAATATTCCATCACACTCTCCGCCAGTCTCTGCTTTAGACCTACGAACCCCGATAGCAGTTGCGATCCCGACCGTCTCTCCCCAAAGGTCTCCACAATTAGATCTAGCACCTTATCTGGATCTGTTTGGAGGGCTTTATCGTGGCATTTGACATCCGCCCTAACCGTCTCCCTTGAACTGCTCATCAACAACCTTAATCTTTCCTCTGGTGACATGTATCTCGAGGCCAGGGCAGCTTTGACCTCTTCACTGAACCTGTTAGTTAAGGTTGGATCACCGTCCCCGTAAAATTTGTTGATGTGGGACTCTCTGGGCAGGACCACAATATGGGTCGGCTTTTCGTCCAGATTAGACATTCTAATTTTAATTCTTTGAGTAAAAAAAAAGACCTTTCCTACAGTTTATGTAAGAATACTTTTCCCTGTTCCTGATTGTCCGAATTCACACACAACACACAGTTATTAACTAGGTTGACAATGGGTGCCGCTGACGGCTGGTCTAGTTGAATTCCACTACCGACAACGCCAAATGTTACCGAGTGTATTTACTCGCAGTGCCAAATGTTACCGAGTCTATTTACTTGTGCTATCTTTGACCAGCACACAACATCAACCACAATATAGATACTCGGAAGTGCAGGTTTACATTGATCTCTTTATTACATGAATCAATAGAAATGCTCCACATAGCAATGCATCAATGTTCCACAAGAATACAATGAACCAACTGACCCCCACTGTCCTCACTAGTCCTCTCATATCAGAATGCCCGTGTCCATCGTTCCTATTCTCACAAATCACAACACGTCTCCACAGTTCAGTCTTCAACTCTGTTCTGCCAATCAAACACGTATCTACACGTATCTACAGTTCAGGCTTCTACTCTGTTCTGCGCCTTCTCCAATACGCAGTTTTATTATATCCCTCGTATTCGTAATCCTTTCCATTCGTTGCATCAGAACTATGAACTACGCAGTGGCTTTGTGTTCGTTATCAGTCCACACCCCCTGTACTCGTTACGTCAGACTGTATTGCGTTCTTATCAATAGTCTTTAGTAACTACACTAGTTACATATATATATATATATATATATATATATATATATATATATATATATATATATATATATATATATATATATATATATATATATATATATATATATATATGTGTGTGTGTGTGTGTGTGTGTGTGTGTATGTGTGTGGGTGTGTGTTGACAGGACAAATAATTTCAGACAAAATATCTCACGGACAAACGATCTCAGACAAAATATCTCACAGCAAAATTGCAATAGTGTGTAGGATCATTTTAGTTGATTTTTGCACGAATACAATATTTCCTGTATAGGCCTACCGAATTCGAGAAAGTATAAATGACATGAAATTTACTTTCTTTTTCTTTTACTATATTTATACTATATTTAGAATGTTCGCAAGGGACGTATGGAAAAAAGTGTTCAATGGAATGCTCTGTGAACTGCAAACAACGCAACAAATGCCACCATGTTACCGGAGTATGTACAGGTGGTTGTCTACCAGGACTGTGGCCTCCCCTTTGTGACCGTGAGTATATTTTTAGCGCAATTTCCATTCTGGAGAATTGCGTTAATTAACTCGTCTTTTCTGGGGATGGATGGATGGATGGATGGATGGATGGATGGATGGATGGATGGATGGATGGATGGATGGATGGATGGATGGATGGATGGATGGATGGATGTATGGATGGATGGATGGATGGATGGATGGATGGATGGATGGATGGATGGATGGATGGATGGATGGATGGATGGATGGATGGATGGATGGATGGATGGATGGATGGATGGATGGATGGATGGATGGATGGATGGATGGATGGATGGATGGATGGATGGATGGATGGATGGATGGATGGATGGATGGATGGATGGATGGATGGATGGATGGATGGATGGATGGATGGATGGATGGATGGATGGATGGATGGATGGATGGATGGATGGATGGATGGATGGATGGATGGATGGATGGATGGATGGATGGATGGATGGATGGATGGATGGATGGATGGATGGATGGATGGATGGATGGATGGATGGATGGATGGATGGATGGATGGATGGATGGATGGATGGATGGATGGATGGATGTGTGTCCGCAGCTTTAAACCGTCTTTAAGTGGTATCTCCTCCTGAACGAAGCAATATCGAGGGCTAGTTCCGAAAGCAAAAATGTTAAGCAAGTTCCGAGGATGAACATAGGCTAAATAAATTCCGGGTTTTCTTCATGGATTTCCCGGAAATGCCAAAAACCTGGAAAAATTGCAGTTTCTGGCCCATTTTTCGGCAACCAGACCACTTAGCGACTTGAAACATTTACCAATCGATTTCTGCCATAATTTAGATCAATATTGCCGAAGAAAGTTTTCCAAAATATCCTTTCGTTCGGTCACAAAAAAATTAATTAAGAACATTTAAACTGAGCATCGTGTAGGCTTAGGATGATATTTTAAACTGAGCATCGTGTAGGAGTTTATA